ATGTCCATACTCTGAACTCAGAGAGCTCCTCCACAGACGCTTTTCCTCCCCCCATGTCCATACTCTGGACTCAGAGAGCTCCTCCACAGACGCTTTTCCTCCCCCCATGTCCATACTCTGGACTCAGAGAGCTCCTCCACAGACGCTTTCCCTCGTCCAGAGATCTTACGTCCCCCCGCCTGTGTCCACCAGCCGCTGTGGGCGTCCCAGGCCCTTCGTGTGCTTTGCCCTTCTCTGTGGCTAAAAGTGGCACCAGGGCATCAGAACAGGCTGCCCCCTGCCGCTGAAGGTTGCCAGGTGGAGGCCCACGGGCGCCCAGGAAGGCTGGCCGGTGACGCATGTCCGGGGAGGTGCCCAGCCGGACAGTACCCCAAACGCAGCTCGCGTTGCTTTAGTTAAAAACTGAGCAGCAAAGCCGCCCACCATCTGGGCTCCCCGCGGCCCTGCTGGGGGAGGAGAGCCTCGCCCCAGGCTGGGGTTCCCAGGCTGTTCTCTTGATAGGAGTGGCAGCCTCGTCTTTCTCCCTGGGAGGGGCTGCCTGACCCACAGGCCACCAGTGTGTATGCAGAAAGGTCACCTTCCCTGGGACCAGCTGGTGGGGAGACGTGACCCCTAAAGGCAGCAGCACTTTCATGCAGACTTTGGAAGCCCTGTCTGCCTCTGATCGGAGCGGCCAGCGCTGCTCCCAGGAGGGGACTGCCCGCAGATGGGCCTTACTTATGCGTGTTCCACCCACCCTTAGCCCTTTCCCCCTTCCCGAGAGCTGCCCCTTCAGTGAGCAGCTGGGAGAAGGCCTGTGCCGGGCAGAGCGGCCCTTCTTCAGCTCTGGACCCCTTGCCAGAGGTGTTTCCTAATGACCCCGAGCAGGGGCTTGTCTTGCTCACAGGCCGCCCGCCTGCCCCTCTGCTGAGACCCATGGGAAGGCCCCCCTGTGCGGGGTGTAGGACCAAGGGAGGGGAGGCAGCTGTCCCACCCCCTGTCCTGACTCGACCCTGCTGTGTCCCCACAGAGACGATCCTGAGCAGCCCACCGCCTGGCAGCGAGCTGGCACAGCCCCAACCGCAGGCCCTGCACTACGCCCTGGCCAACGCCCAGCAGGTGCAGATCCACCAGATCAGCGAGGATGGGCAGGTCCAAGTAGTAAGTGCTCCCTTGGGCGGGCGGGGCGGGCACCCGGTGTGTGCGTGCGTGCGTGCGTGCTCTATGAGGGCACCGTGCTGACTGTGTCCCGGGGTGGGGGGTGTCAGGTGTGGGTGGTGCATAAGAGCCACACAAGTCTGTGGCATACTGTGTGGGCCCCAGTGCCCCTTGAAGCTGGGTCCCTGGTAGAGACAGGAAGGAGAAGGCTTCTCAGGAAATGGAAGTGCCCTGCGCCTCAGGGGCCTCGGCCGGGAGCCCCTGTGATGGAGGGCTCTGGATCTAGTCACCAGCTGGGGCAGTTCCTCTTGCTGGGGGTCCCAGCTGAGAAATACTAACTCACGGTGGAACAGATGGCGGGGGGGTCGCTGGGGGGGTGACTGCGGGGCACGGAGCCAGGGTTGATGGAGCCCTGTCCTCCCACGTCCACAAAGCAGACCTCGTGGCTGCTGACTCTGGTTCTGTGACAGCGGCCTTTAGGACCATCCACCGCTGCTGTCCAACCATGAGTGTCAGTTTGAGCTCCCCACCTCCGGCTGCACGTGTGCCTGCACAGGAGCTCAGGCCTCTTCCTCTAGGCTCCGGGGAGCCACCTCGTTCCTGTGTGCCTTCTCTTGGCTCCGTGCACCCCTTTAGTCCGTCCCTGGAGGGCAGCATCAAACGGGGGCCCCCATGAGACAGACACTCACAGCCTCTGCAGTGTGGCTCAGGTGGCATAGGCCAGCCATGAGGAGGCCGGGCCGTGTGCCCGTCTGCCCCATTCGATGGCAGCATTAGAAGAGCTGAGGGCTGCAGTGCCCTGGGCAGGGGAGTCAGTGCTCACCCTCACACCCCCTGGGGAGCACCCCCTGGGCCAGGACCCCGAGCACGGCCGCCCTTCTGTGGACCCGGGTTTCCTCTGATGCTTCTCGCTGTCTTCTCCTGCTGTGGATCCCACAGGGCCACCTCCACATCGCCCAGGTGCCGCAGGGAGAGCAGGTGCAGATCACGCAGGACAGCGAGGTGGGTCTGCCCCCATGGCCCCCGCCCTGCCCCGCCCCACCCCACCTTGGCCCCCTTGACCCTCTCCTCTCTGCCTTTCCTTAACAGGGCAACTTGCAGATACATCACGTCGGCCAGGATGGGCAGGTAAGCACTCACCTGCCCCGGCGTCCTGCCTGCCCTGTGGCCCTCCTGTACCCTTAGCCACACGTCCGGGGGGCTCCTGCTGCCAGCCGTATGTCCTTGCAGCTGCAGTGCACACTGCACACTTCCACTTGGCCCTCCTGCGGGAAGAGGCAGGCATGGGGCTGTCTCCTATTGTCAAGCTGCAGGAATTTGCCACCTCTCTGACCTATGGCAAGAGACGTGGCTACTGGCTAAACACCTATCCTGCCTTAAGCAGTAAAGACCCTCCCTTGAGGGAGGGCCCTGCTCTTCTTCCAGCGTTGGGGGTGGGGGGTGTCACCGTGCCCTTGCTCCGACCGGCAGACTGTCCCAGCTGCCCTGCCATCTGAGTGGTCCCCACGGCATTGAGCTGTCTCTGCTCCAGGTCCCCATCTGTCCTGTTATCCACATTCTTTCTCAGTTGTGTTTTTAGCTGCTCAGTGCCATGTTGAGTGGTGGCATCTGAGACCTGGGCTCACGACTCGGGGTGCAGGTGGGCCCTCTCCTGAGTGCTGCTCCACCGGCCCTCACACCTGGGGCCCTTGGTCCAGGTTTGGTCAGAGGCCAGAACAACCTGGGGGCTTCAGGGCTTTATGGACACACATCTCTTAGCAGCGGGCTCTAGTTCCATGTCCCTGCAGGTGAGGGGCAGGGGCAGTCACAACAGCTTATGGATCCGGCAAAAGCCCCTCTGCGTCACAGACGTTCCCGCAGCTCTCCCACAGGCCCAGGGACAGAGGGCGAGTCCCAGCCTGCCTCTTCCTGCTGCACGCCCTTGGGCGAATCTGAGGTGGCACAGGCGGCCGGCCCTACCCAGGGTGGGTCCTGGAAGGCCCGTGGGTGTGGAAGCGGCTGCGTGTGCTGGGAGGCGAGCCGAGGCTCCCGGCCGGGTTCACCTGCTGGGAGTCACTGGGCACTCTGGGTTTCCCAGGGCAGTGCCCTCGGGGTTGCCCACGGCTGAGCCCTACTGAGCATCCTTGTCTTCAGAATGATGGGGTCACATTCCCTGCACCAGATGCTGAGGGCGCTCCTCAGACCCTCAGAGACAGACGCCCCAGGTGATGCGGCTCTGCCTCTGGCTGGGCGGGAGCGCCCTCTTTCCCGCTCCCCCCCGAAGCCCTGCCTTCGTGTCATTATGTTGGCATGTGTGTCTGTGCTCACGTCCTGCCCACATCAGGCCCATCGGGCGGGCGCCTCGGTGTCTCCGTGTGAGGCCGGCTGGGGTGTCCTCGGCCAAGCCTTTGCCCTGTCCCTCCTTGGACAGTCACACTGGCCTTGTGACCCCAGTACCCTGCTCTGGGGTTTGTCCTCTAGGTGGGCCTTGGGTCTGCCTGGCGTCCCTCTCCGGTGGCCCAGTGCTGGCTGCGGTCACTCTCTCCTGCGCGTCCTGGTTGCATGGTCAGTGGTGGCTTCTTGGTTCTGTCATGAGAGGCACCATGGGCGCCGGCCTCGACCGCGAGGCCCCGCTCGGGGTGACCCCTGCCTGTGAGACCCCCACTGGCTGTCAGCCTGCGCAGCGCTGGGCAGCCGGTGTTTGACATGTGGTGCCAGAGCTTGCCGGTCAGCTCCACCTTCCTGGCCAAGGACAGACTGTACATGAGGACAAGTCACTGTCCCAAGTAAACAGTAGTTTCCGTCCCCCACATGGGGACCCTGTCTGAACACTGCAGCCAGCCAGTCTCCCCTCAGAGCGGGGACTGCACCGGGCGCAGGAGTAAACACCATACACCGTTGTCGCAGCCCCTGCCGCCGGCCTTGGGGGCTGTGGTGCTCGGGGTGAAGGAGCTGGGCATTGTTGGCTGCCGGGGCCCAGGCAGCTGGACGTGCCGAGACACCTGGTTCAGATTTGCTGCAGGAATGCTGCCTGTTTGGAATGGGGGGCTAGAACACAAACGTCCCCACACCCCTTCTTCCTGCTGTTTTACGTCTTCCGTTTGGCTTTCTTTCTTTGCTGGGGCCCCCAGGAACAGAGTCCCTGCTGAGCCCCTCGGGGCTCCTTCGGCTTCCACCTTCCGCAGTGCCAGCCCCGGCTGAGTGTGCAGTGTTACTGGACTGGGACTCAGGCTGGAGCCCGCCCTGTCTGCCTGGGCTGGAGGCTGTCGTGCCCACAGCCAGCCTGTGACTGGCTCACAGCGGCATTCTAGAAACAGCCGTGTCTGGTCAGTGGACATCAAGGCCCAGGATGGGGGCTCTGCCTTTGTGTGTGGCCGGACACAAAGGACATTGGGCTGGCTGCATCTTCCTGTCTGGTTGTGGTGGCTGGGACAGGCCAGCGTCTGTGCACAGACTGTCAGTGTGCAGCCCAGGAGTGTTGTGTGTATGTTGCGGTGCGCACAGTGGGGCCTCACTGTTGTCTGTATGTTTATGGTGTGCACAGTAAGGACTCACTGCAGTTGCTGGATGGGGTGTGGCTCAGGTGACAGTGGCTTCCTCTTCTTGACATTATTAATTATTTTTTTAACACCTGTGCATTTGTACGATTAGAGGTAAAACCCAGCAAAGCTACTTTCCCTCTATGTGAGGAGAAGGGAGCCTGAAGCAGGGCACCCGCCCCACTCCTGGTTTCCGGCAGCAGATGCCTGCCCTCTCAGACGAGAAGCTGCCCTCTTTGAAGGACAGCGTCTGGAGGTCTGGCCACCAGGCTCACAGCTGGTCACAAAGCCAACGCCCTTCCCCACGCTCTTCTCTTGAAGGCCCCTCCCCCTTCACTTTCTCTCTGAGGCCTTAAGCTTACCAGTCAGAGGTCACATGTCAGAGGTCAAGTCTCCACTTTGAGAGAGTAAGTGCAGCCCATGTCACAGAGCAGCTTGACCAGGTCAGCCAGGCTGAGGACAGGGTGGACCTGCTCCCTTCTGAAGCGCTGTGCCTCCCGCCTCGGCCAGCGCAGGCCGAGGGAATGCGTGACAGCCACCAGCCACCCGACACTCTTGCACGCCTCCTGCCACGTTGCTGGAGGTCTGGCCTGTGGTCCATGCTTCGTAGCAGCTCTGATCATGTGAGCCGCCCCCACCCCCACCCCGCTGGCTGCGCCAGCAGGAAGAACCAAAGCCAGGGTGGGGTTTGCAGTGTTTCCACCTTCTGGACACATTGTGATGCATGTTGTGGACAAACAGGCTCGGACTAACATTCTAATGTAGCATTTCAAAATGCCCTGGGCGGGGCTGGCAGCCTCACGAAGAGCCCATGAGAGTGTGACAGCGTCCCCCAAACACGTCAGCCTGGTCCTGTGTTGTGCTGTGACCCATGTCCCTGCCTGCAGTTGGGCAGTGAGGCAGGACTCGGGCCGCCCTGTGACCCTGTGTCAGGACAGCCCCCCTCAGTCCACTGAGGAGGAGGAGTGGGAAGCAGAGTGCTTCCCTATGTGGGGTCTCCCCCAGGCCCCTGGTCCCTGCTTGGACAGGCTGGAGGACCAGGCAGGTGCTGGCCGGTGGGTGTGGACCTGCACACGCTTGTTTCCTGTGGGCAGCGGGTGGAGGGTCAGAGCACACAGTGAGGGGCAGCATGGCACAGAGTGCAGGTGACCCAGTGACCCTGAGGCAGACGTAGGGGTGGGCTGTGCACTGTGGAGCCAGGCTGGAAGTGGAACAGCATGGGGTGGTGGGCACCAGACCTGGGGAGGCGCTGACCGTGGGAATGCATTGGCACTGCTGGGGGTGTGGGGCTACATGTCCCACTTGGTCTGGGGACATGGACATTAACAAGGGACAGATTTCATTTGGGAAGGTCACTGGGCCCAAGAGGCCCAGTGTGGGAGTGGGCCCACGAGCAGCAGGACACCTGGCTGTACAGGGGAGCAGGGCTGGTCAGCGGGGACAGTCGCGGGGGCTTCTTCCTGCGCCTGTCTGCAGATCTGGGTGATGAGCTCAGGGTGTGGCCGGGGCTCTAGACTGGGGCCCGGGATGCTGGTAGAGACCACCATTCCTACCGTGCGGTGGCCAGGCCACCGGCTGGTTAGCAGAGCCTGCAGGCCACTGGGCCAGAGATGCACGGTGTCTGATCCTGGGCCAACAGTTGACTCACACAAGGGCCTCACCTGCAAGACTGCCTATAGCTGCCCAGAGAGGGGCTGGGGACAAAAGCCCAGCTGGAGTGTCTGTTGCCCTCTGCCAGATGGCGCCGTGGGGGCACAGGGCCACTGTGACATGGCCCGGAGGGCTGTGGGCCCCGTGTGTCAGGGCAGCTGCCCCCAACCACTATGGGAGAGCTGTCTGTCGTTTTACTCATTGAGCTTCCAGGCTGCAGAGGCCACCAGGCCCCCGTCCCCCCTCCCCCACCATGCTGCCAAGGAACGTGTGATGCCCAGGGATGCGGAACCATCTGCTCTCAAGTCATGGCTGACCCCCGACCCTCACCCGCCCCCCGGCCACCACCCCTCACCCCCAACTATGGCCTGAGTCACCGTAGCAGGACACTGCACCTCTCAGCCCCTCTCGTGCCATCTGTCCCTCCACACCAGTGGACCCGAGTTAAACCAGGACCTTGGCCGTCCCCGGCAGCACCTGCTACCTGCACCTCCTAGTGGGTGGGCTTGGACCAGCCACCACCACTAAGATGGTCACCCCGTGAGGCGTCACCCCTAGACCTGGGTGGGAGGGTGGCCCTGCTGCCGAGCATGTCCGCCTGCCGCCTTGCAGGCAGTGTAGGTTGTGAAGCAGCAAAGGCTCTCGCTACCCTGCCTGCCTGCTTTCCCTGTCAGAGACCCTGGGGAGTCAGTGACATGCCTTCCTCTCCCTTCTGGAGGCCAGCACCCTGGCCTGTGGGCAGCATCAGGCCTGACAGGACCCCTGGCCTGGGCGGTATCAGGACTGACTGTTGGTCACTTTCTGGGGAACCTTCCTCAGCCTTTCCCGATCCTGGCAGCCCGGTCCCCTGTAGGCTCGTGGCCAGTCCTCTTCTGCTGTCCTCTCCTGAGTGATGTCTGCTCCTGCCTGTCCAGCTCCAGGGTGGCCAAAAGAGGCTCCACCCACATGTGTGCGGAGGAGGACATCCCTGTGCTCTGGGGGACGCAGTCCAGGCTGGGCTGCCTCTCCCCAAGTGTTCTTTTTGCACCCTGTGTCCCGTCCCGCTCACCAGTGGCACTCCCAGCCCCACCCACTCAGCCTCTCCCTGCACATCCCAGCGACCTGCCGGCCTGACTGCCCTCAGTGCTGCTGGGAGCACAAGTTCGGGGCCTGCAGGGAAGGGCTGCCGGCAACCCTCAGAGTAGGGGAACGTGGGATGGCAACGTGCAGAGCTTCATCCATGCGTGGTACTGTGGCAGCTCTCATGCATGTGTGCTGTGCTGCAGTCTTGCTCATGTGGCCATACTTCACATGTGCTGTGCTGCAGTCTTGGGTGGCTGTACTGCACAGATGCTATGCTGCAGGCTTGCTTGCGTGGCTGCACTGCACCTGTGCTGTGCTGCAGGCTTGTTGACGTGACCGTACACACGCGCTGTGCTGTGCTGCAGGCTTGTTTACGTGACCGTACCACACATGTGCTGTGCTGTAGGCTTGTTTGCGTGGCTGTACTGCACGTGTGCTGTGCTGTAG